TTTTTTTGATATTATTTTTAGCGCATACTGAGCTGCCACAATGATGAGAATTCTGACACCAGAATATGCAGTCAAATATTATGTAAGATATATAACATTAAAAAATTATATCGATTATAAACACCAAACATTTCATTGTAGATACATGCTTCAAAGATACATCAGGACTCAAAAACAATTGAGAAGTAGCAAAATGTACTAAATAGTATCCTTAGTGATGCATGATTGATCAAAATACAAGCTAACTTTCAAAACTTTACACTGGACCATTCTTTGTTGTATTAACACCAAAAACCTGCAAATATAAGCATTATTTAAATTTTATTAGACGTTTAAGCATAAAACCAGTAAAAAAACATTAGAAAAACAAAACTATAAGGTTGTATGAAAAAAATTTGGAAGAAGATACCTATCTCCAAAGTCAAATTTTAAGCACACATTTCTGGAAAAAAATTCCTTAAGTCATATCATCTCCTGTTCAAGCATGTAATAAGAGTAATCAAACAAATTAATTATCAATAAAGATTACAAGAAGAAGACAAAAATGCTCAGATCAATCATATGCCCAAAAATAATTACACATAAACATATTATACAACACCAAATTAAAGGAATATGGAACCAAATTTTATCACAATTCTAATCAACTTATATTTTATCAAAAATCATCACACTAACATAAAATAAAATTAAAATATGAAAATGATAGCAACAAACAAGTATAACTTACAAAGTTTGTCTTGATTGCTTGAACTATTTTGTTGCAATAAACGCAATAGCATTTGCTTCAATTCGTCTTGCCCTTCCCTTAGGCCTTGTATTTCATCATCTTGCTTTTTGCAACGGTCATCATAGTTTTGAATTAGTGCTTCTTGCGTTTGAATCATTCTTGTTGGGATTAATACGACAAGTAGCATCTTTCATTCATCTTCAGTAACACTCAACTTTTCTTGAACTGTCTTCAATTGTGAAGATTCACATGTTGACCTCTTCGAACATTTAGAAGGCACAACTCCATACCCCAAGCCCTTCTCATATCCAGATCGTTTACCAAGTACCTTATTTACAATTTCCCGCTCAGAAGTTATACTTTCATTTTGATTTAGTTCATTCCTCATATTTTCCATTTCAACCTGTGAACGTTTAACAAAGTCAAGTCCATAATTCATGTTTAGATATATAAATATGTATCAATTAAAATGACATTTCTGCACAGTCCAACATACATGTACATCTGCAGCCTTCTCATTCACAAAAGTACCATTTCTCTTATGAGTCATGGCAAAATTATCCACGTAGCTTTGATTTTCCTTTCAAATTAGAAAAAAAAATATTAGAACCAACATTACCAAACTAAACAAATATCAATCAATATATTACCATTTGCAATAGCCGTGTATGAAATGATTTTGAACCTGAAGTATGAGTATACGGTAGAAATTTCCTATTACTTTCATTAGCTTTAGACCTTTTCTGAACCTGAAGTATGAGTATAGTAAAAGTTAAAATCTTACTAAAAGTTTTAACACAATTCACAAAATGATATTTATATATCAAACCAATTGTAATAATACCTTGAAATTTTCAGTTTCATAGTAATCACACAAAGTACGCCATTTTCGAAGTTCTATCCAATCAAACGGACTACAAGCCTTGGGATCTTTTTCTTCTTCAATCATACGTTTATAAGCTCCTGATAATCGACCTTTCCAATGCGTATAACTTTTTTGGAACATCTCCTCCATATAACTTTGAACTACTGGATTATTTCCCCATCCTTTGATATTAAACCATGTCTAAAATTGGTGGACAAGAGTAACTATCAAAATAAAGAAATTTATTTCATATCTATGACAAAGTACAAATGTAGAAAACCATTGTACTTACATCTAATCCAGCATAAATAGGTAGCTTTTCGTGTTCTGCAAGGTCACTCCAGTTACTCATACAATCAAGTTCAGGACTGTGCCTAATAACAACTCCAATTCCAGTTGCTAAGTGATTAGCAAATTGACGTGGCTTTTTAAAACCTTCAGGAAACTCAATTTCTAATAATTGTCCTTTCTAATCACAAATAAAAGAATATATATAGTTATAATTAGGTACATGTAACAAAAAAGAGAAATGTATATCAAACAATAGACACTAACATTTTCAGTAATTGCTTTCTCTATCGATTTTCCTGTAGTTGCTATGCGGCCTCTTTTCTTTGTGGAAACTGATACTTATTCATAAAAATACAAATATCTAATAAATAGATGATAAAGTTAAGTATTATTAGAAAAATGCATAAAATTACCAGTTGAGTTTTCAGGGATTGATAAAGAACTTTCACTTTCGTATCCTTGTGTATCCTAATGAAGATGGGAAGATGTAGATGAAGTTGGCACACGAGATGACGGGATTTCAGATCGTGAATTTGCCGACACAAATGGAAGTTCTTGGGCGACTGAAGATACTTCTACATTTGCATCTTTACTCCTCCTCGTTAAAATGCGACGCGGTATTATATTATTAGGTGGCATTTAACTGCACAATTAAATAATCAATTAAGTTAGCAAATAAAGAATAATACGTAAAACATAATTCGCTCTTAAAAATTTTAGAAATTGTTCCACGCAATTAATTTAAATTCTCTCTCAGATTCTGTTAGTAAAAGTCTCAAAGAATCTATATATGTGAAGAATTTATTTAATGTTTCAAACATGTACAATTTATTCTCAACTTTTAACAATTAAAAAATGAAGCCACCACGAGGGAAAATAAAACTAAAGGATTTCATGTAATTGATTTATATACCTCATATGAGAAAGGGTTTCCAATTCTTCAATAACTATTTCGACCCCTTTGGGAATCGTAATATGAATTATAAGTTGTAATACTCAGTAGGATTCAAGCACTACATAATCTTAGTACAGTTGCACCTAGGGGTGGAAATCGGAACGAAATTTCCGATTTCCGCCGAATCCGATCCGATTTTTTCCGATTTTGGAACGAATTTTCGTAGTCCGAATTCCGAAATTCCGATTTCCGATTTTTTTCCGAAAAAATCAGATCGGAATCGGAATTGTATATGAATTATTCGGAATTTCCGAATTCCGATCCGAAAATAATTCCAAAATTTCCGATAATATTTCCGAAATTTTCCGAATTTTTCCGAAATTTATTAATATTTCTTCATTACTAATTTACTATATTGTTTCTAGTTAGGCTTTAAAAAGCCCACTTTAGCAAGGCAGCCCACTTTAGTAAATGGATAGTCCAAATATTGAATATTCAGAATTTTAGGGACTAAATAGTAAATACCACAAACTTATAATAAAACCCTAATTTCTTCCTCCTCTTCTTGTGCCGCTCACCCCTCCTCTGAACTTTTCTTTTCTTCTTCTTCTTCTGGCGCTAGTCACAGCTACCTCGTCTGAACTTTTTTTTTTCTTTCGACCGCCGACTCTTCTTCTCTACCATATGAGTCATAACACCTAACATCCATATCTTTCCTTTGCGAAACAGAGGCTGAAATTGCTGCAAAATACCAGTCTTTTTTCTCTCAAGATCGCCGGAGTTGCTGCCAAAAGGTATCGTTATTCTCTATAAATCTCCGCCGTGGCCGTGGCTTTTCTTTCGTGCTTCAGTCGCCGGGCATAATCAACGACGTTTCCGAAAATTCCGAAACTCCGATTTTTTTTTTCGGAATCGGAATCGGAACGTCCTTTTGCATTCCGAAATTTTCGGAATCGGAATCGGAAGTGATTTTTCACTTCCGAAAAAAATCGGAAATTTTCCGAAGGGGTGGATTCCGATCCGATCCGTCCGATCTCCACATCTAGTTGCACCATTAAACTACAATCATATGTAAATTAGATGTTTTTCCACAAAAAGTTAATCCAGTGGACAAAAAAATCAAGATAGGACTTAAACTTCATCCCATATCATCGCTGCGAAATACTCAGGATTTATGTACCTTGAATTGTCGCTCTGTTGGTTTTTGGCCCAAATGTGTTTTGGGCCATAAAGCCCAATCGCCATCATTTTATATACACCACCATACTGAGTTAAGCCCAAGGTATTTATGAGTGAGCCCAATCCATTTGTGAGCCAAATCCATCCGTTGGATTTTAGGCTGAATCTGGACCGTTCATTGCCCCACTTAAATACCTCTTTCTCTCTCTTCACTTCTCTCATTCTGAAACCCTAACCTTACCTCTTCTTCTCTCCGCCGCTCCTGCTTCTGTCTTCTTCCTCCCTTGTACTGCCTTGACTGAGTTATGGCTGGAGGTCAAACAGCATGGTACAGTGCTGACTTTGACTCTCCGGTACAGCATTCACCGGCTCTATTTGACTTCTGTCCCTTTAAATACAGGCATGGAGGCTGGAAGAGGGTAAGACAGAGAAAACCCTAAATCCGACCTAAATCCCTCAGTTTTCTACTTCGTGAGTTCAGAAATTGGGGTTTTGGTGAGTGGGTAAGCTTGAGTGCTTGATCTGTTCTTCCTTCGTGGTTTTCTGGGTAATCTAGGGTTTGAGTGTTGTGAAATAGAGAGAGAGAGAGAGAGAAGATCTGTTCTTCTTGAGGTACTCTGGTGGTGTATATTGGAAGTGTGAATCTCTGGTGTGAAATTGGAAGACTGAGCTGAAAATCTCAATCTATTATTCTTTCAATTATTCATACATTTTATTCTTTTCTTTCATTTATACATTTATATATATATATATTCTCCTTGGCAGTAATCAATACTGCTCAAGGGAAACTTATATATCTGACAGTAGGGTTTTTTGATGGATCTGGGCAGTTTGATACCCTACACGCTCTCTATTGGCTCAGCCGCCTTTGCTAGAAAAATCAAGTGAACTCGCGAGGTGTGCGGTGGCAGTAGGAAGAGTGACGATCTGTGACGGTGGTAAAAATTGAAAACCCTATTTTCGTCTTTGTCTGTTCATTTGATTTTTTGTCTTCTCCGCTGGAATAATCCAGAGAAACATAAAGAAGAGGCGCTAATTTTGCCGCCCAGTATTTTGGGACTCTTTTAGTCCAAATTTTAACCTAAAGTTAAATTTATTTAACTAAAGGTGTTTCTACCACTACGGTACTTATTAAAATAATTGATGTTTTTAACATGCATCAGATAAATTTTCTGCAAAAAAATCAAACATAAAAAAAAATATTAATAAATTAATTAAACAAAAAATTAATACAATAACGTAGTATATAAAGCTTTAATTTTAAATTAATTTTGTAATGATTATTAATTTAAATCAAGGATAATTGTTCAATACTGTTTAACCATAATAATCAAAATTTGTTCCTTTTTTTTAGGGAATATATATATATATATATATATATATATATATATATATATATATATATAC